CTCTTAAAAACAAACTTAAGAGTCAAGTTGTGGCACATTCTGACACCATTCAGGTCACAATTAAGCAGCACATATTTCCCCTTCACAACACAGCACCAGCTAACGTTTACTTAACGTTAGTGTTTACCCGAAGGCCTTGTTTACAACACATACACGCATCATAAAGCAAATGTTTTACACAAAGCAAACCAAAACTAGTAAGTGATATAGTTTAAATGCAAGTGTGAATAGTGTGTGCTGTAACGTTACGTCAAAACGCCGTTGTGCACGCGAGCCGACGCAGACTGCACGTGTTAGCGGCGTCATTCACAAAAAGCCGGGCGATTATTTGCAAAATAACGCGTTTCTTACTCATATAACCATCATATTGGATAGCAATTGTGTGTTATAACCTTATATACACAATTTATTAGAAGCAATGTCATTGTGCATTAAAATAACACTAGCAGAGGAGTGTTAGCATGCTAGGTTAGCCTAGCCGCTCTTTCCCTCCTCAGTTAAAAACACTCATCAACATACCCGTCAGACGACCTCTTCTTGCTCGACGAATATTCATCACCTAAATCCAACCGATGTCGTTTTGACATCTCGTATTATACAGATTAATGCGGTAAAAGAAGAGTTTGCTCGGTTACTTCAACGCAGCCGTTGCTTTCTCTCTCTCATACACCGCTAAAAGACAAGATGGCGACCGGAAGCACTTACCTCATCATTATTATTATTTATTATTTCAAGTTCAGTATGGATGAACACTGTAGCAGAAAGCTCTGTGTGCGTTCATATTATCTATTTTAAGTCCTCAGTCTACTTTCGACTGAAACGCAAGAGAGGAATACTGAATAATGAATGTTGTGGATGCTCTGAATGGAGGAGAATATAATCTAGCGCCAATAAAAGCGCCCGCCCCCCCTCGCAGACATTACTGCAGTTCCCACATTCACCGCAAGGGGCAGAGCAGAAATTGTGTACTTTTTTCTTTTTTATTCATTTATTTTCCTTCGGCTTAGTCCCTTTATTAATCAGGGGTCGCAACAGCGGAATGAACCGCCAACTTATTCTCCCTGCTGAAAAATCCAGCTTAAACCAGCCTAGGCTGGTTTAAGCTGGATTTTTTTAGCAGGGGGCATATGTTTTACGCAGCGGATGCCCTTCCAGCAGCAACCCAGTCTTGAAAAAAACATCTATAAACAAAGCCAATTTAGTTCAATTCCACATTGCGCATGTGTTTAGACTGTGGGAGTAACCGGAGCACCCGCAGGAAACCCACGCCAACACGGTGAAAACATGCAAACTCCACACAGAAATGCCAAGTGACCCAGCCGGGACTTAAACCAACGGCCTTCTTGCTGTGAGTCGACAGTGCTAACCACTGAGTCACCATGAATATAGGTAATATATTTTATTGCATTTGAACAAAACAGATTTATCAAACAGATATGTTTATTAAATAGTAATATAGTCACCGAACATCTTCAAAAACAACAACAACAAAAAACAATACATTGCAAACTACAAAATTTCAATACAATTTTATAACATTTTTGTTTCTTATTTTGCTCTAATTAAATTTCCAAATTTTTAGATCTAATTTTCTTATTTAATATATTTTCCAAACATACCAATTTGGGTGTGCTAATTTTGTGCCGTTATCCTAACTTATTTTTGTTAGATTAGCTCCAGATTTGGCTTCAGTACTGACTAATCTAATGTATATGCATAAATGTAATATTTTAAAGCTTCCTATTCAAAAATATTTTTGAGCACTGTGTGTGTGTGTGTGTGTGTGTGTGTATGTATATATGTATATATATACACACATATATATAAATATATATATATATATATATATATATATATATATATATATATATATATATATATATATATATATATGTGTGTGTGTGTGTGTGTGTGTGTGTGTGTGTGTGTGTGTGTGTGTGTGTGTGTATATATGTATATATATATATATATATATATATATATATATATATATATATATATATATATGTGTGTGTGTGTGTGTGTGTGTGTGTGTGTGTGTGTGTGTGACGTTTTAAAGTTGTCAAATATGCATAGAATCAATATAGATATCAGTTTTCACAGAATTAACGTTAGTCATGTTTTTGAATCTGCCACTACACTATGCTGACACACAGGCATACGTGGCTCCGCCCTCTTTTGAAAAGAGCACAATCTCATTTGAATTTAAAGTGACAGTCACCAAAACACCACGAATAGGATCAAAGCCTAAATGGGTCAGTTTCAGAGAGTTATAAAACATTATATGTGTGGTATTTTGAGCTGAAACTCATTTAATATCAGCCCTTTAATAAAAGTAAAAATAGTTTTCTTCAATATAACCTTTCTTAAATATTAATAATTAAAAATAACATAATGTATTATAGAAATATACATTTGACCCCCAGTTTATAGTGATGCATTCAATTGCACCAATCAATGGTAGGAAAAATATAATTCAACAGTCAGAATCTGTCAGTTCTAGAGCACTGATTGACATCTTAAGTACTCACAAAACATGTTTCTTGTAAAATAAGTGTTTAGATCTGTATGTAGCCTGAAAAAAGAAAATTTAGACACATAATTTGAATAGTTTGACCTACAGTAATCTCTAAATTAGTCACTAAACACTGAAAACATCTATTTTAGTAATACATTAGATGTCAGTTAAATAGTTTCCCACTACTGGATTGCAGCAGGAAGGGTGTCCGCTGTGTAAAACATATGCTGGATAATGAAAATGAATGAATGCAATTCAACATTAATAACATGTAATATACATTCATAAAATTGATTGACTGGTGCATATGTATACTACCGAAAAAGCATCATCATTCATTCATTCATTCATTTACTATTCATTCATTTTTTTTCGGCTTAGAGCTTTTATTAATACAAGGTCGCCACAGAGGTATGAATCGCCAACTTATCCAGCACGTTTTTATGCAGCGGATGCCCTTCCAGCCGCAGCCCCCATAATCAATGTATAGTTCACACACTGGGGAATTTGCGTCTCAGGACATACTGAGCTCTTGCAAATCTCTGATAGTTCTTGTATTTTCACATCGTGATCATTTACTGCAATGAATCAGCCAGTGCAGAAGACAATCATCGCCGTCGACACACGTAATTACACAGCCGAGGCATGGCTAACAAGCTACATAATAGCAACTGGATCATTGCTCGTGGCCGGGAATTGATGGTGATGGGAAAAACAAAGTTAGCGTTAACAAGACTTTACACAGCTCTGCGTATAAATCTGAAACACTGGCCATTTTTACTTCCGCTTTCACAGACAATTAAATAACGGACCAATTGCATGTGACATATAGGCTTGTCGGGATGTAGCAATGGCTTCTTGAAAGAGAAGAACTGTTAGATATTTATATTAGAATTGATGATAGCGTGGATTTTAAACTACTACTGTAAAATATACATATAAATTAGCAGGTTTTTGTATTTATTTATGCTTTTAAATAGCATTTTGGGTCCTTGATCTTTTCGTCAACAAATGTTGGCGATGAAAAGTTTAAAAAAGGGACTTTTATTGACTCTTTTTAATAGTTTGAAGTGATTTATTGTCTGTATTTGTGTTGTAAATTACAAAACCAAAACCTGGTATGCAACTTTTTTTCTATATGCAGTTGAAGTCAGAATTATTAGCCCCCCTTTGAATTATTATTATTATTATTTTAAATATTTCCCAAATGATGTTTAACAGAGCAAGGAAATTTTCACAGTATATCTGATAATATTTTTTCTTCTGGAGAAAGTCTTATTTGTTTTATTTCGGCTAGAATAAAAGCAGTTTTTAATTTTTAAACACCATTTTAAGGTCAAGATTATTAGCCCCTTTAAGCTATATATATTTTTCGATAGTCTACAGAACAAACCATCATTATACAATAACTTGCCCAATGGGGTATATGCCGAAGCATGCTAATAGGACTTTTAATTTGCCAGTAACCTGGGTTAAGCGCTTCCGACGAATTGAATGCCAATGCAAAATCCGGTGCATTTAAGGTCTGTTTTCTTTAAAAATCAGCGATCTCCACTAGCTGAGTGATATCCAATTTAAAGTGGGTCTCAGATTGTGCAAGAAGCACTGCATTAAATGACATTTCCCCCGCCATATCTTTATAATATGAGCATTTATTTTACCCCAGTATATTCAATGGAGCTTCTGCGTTAGCCTGCCGATTCTGACGGGCGCGTGCGAGTAAACAGCTTTTTGTCTCGTTTTACGCTTGACCAACTAAATAAATGCTACAGTTTATTTAACTGAATGTATTTTAATGACATTACAACATCAATGCTGTATAAGGAACCGTATAAAATGGAAAAGTTCACAATAACAGGTCACCGGAAGTGTATCAGCATGGGAACAGCACTAGCTCGGCATATACCCTATTACCCTAACCTGCCTACCTAACCTAGTTAAGCCTTTAAATGTCACTTTAAGCTGTATAGAAGTGTATCAAAAATATCGTCAAATTTATGTACTGTCATCATGACAAAGATAAAATAAATCAATTATTAGAGATGAGCTATTATGTTTAGAAATGTGTTGAATTTTTTTCTCTCTATTAAACAGAAATTGGGGGAAAAAATAAACAGGGGGGCTAATATTTCGGGCGGGGGGGATAATTCTGACTTCAACTGTATATTATTTCATATAGAATATATTGTTTAAAACTAAAATGTCAATAAAAGCCACTTAGTTGACAGAGCAGAGATAAAAGTCCCATGATGCAATTCATAATCGTAAATAAATGGGGAGGAAAAATATGTAAATCATGTAATAAATAAATGTTTAAATGAACCAATATTTTGGCACTAGCATCACATTATTTGTCTTATTATTATTAAAACACTGAGGCTCCTGGATTTAATTATATAAAGGTAAATAATCATTACTAGTAGTGGTGTTGTAAGTTCAGCATGAGTAATCAGAAAAGCAGCCAATCAATAATACAAAGTTTATTTACCAAAGTACATTCTCCGAGTTCAGACGGATTAAGCTTTGCTGTGATCTTGTGACTGAATTATTCAGCCTGTTTCAGGACAACATTTCAGCTATAAGGTAATGTACCTTCGCTGCTTTTGACATGTTTGGATATTTCTGTATGGTGCAGTAATGCTTGCAGAATATCCTGCAATTTGTGTATTTTTGGTGGGGGGTTATTTTTTATGTAGAATTCCTTTAAAAACATTTTTGCTGTCAGGATTTAGCACCGCTGGAATGCTATATGATAGCATTATATGCAGAGCTAAATATTGTGTCTTTAATTTTACATCTAAATGATAGACTTTAAACAGAAGGAAATAGATTGAACTGTTTAATGGTAAATAGCAATTGCAAAACACAATGAAATAATGTTTTTTACATTTAAAATAAATTTACTCATTAAGAGTTAAGAGCTGCTTTAGAAGGAAATATGGTTAAACTGAGCTGAAAAAAATGTTTTATAATTTCACACGCACAATGCGATGATGCAGTTGTAACATTCATTTTCTTTTTGGCTTAGTCCCTTTGTTAATCAAAGGTGGCCACAGCGGAATGAACCGGCAACTTAACCAGTATATGTTTTACCAGCCTGATCTCACGAGAAAACTTAAGTATTTTACGTTTTGACAGTTAAATGGCTAATTTGTACGAATTCGTATGCGTTTAGTCGTACGAAAGTGTACGATTTTAAAAAGGAGGCGTCGCACCCAACCCAACCCCACCCCTATACCCAACCATCATTGGGTGATGAGCAAATCATACTAAATTGTACAAATTTGATTTTACGAATTCATACGAATCAGCCACTAAATCAAAAAGTTACGAATTGCTAGATTTTATTCAGCGGATGCCCTTCCAGCTGCAACCTAGTACTGGGAAACACCCATACACTCTCATCCACACACTAAAGCCAATTTAGCCTACCCAACTCACCTATACAACATATCTTTGGACTGTGGGGGAAACCGGAGCACCCGGAGGAAACCCACGCCAACGCGGGAAGGACATGCAAACTCCACACAGAAACGTCAACTGACCCTGCCGAGGCTCGAACCAGCGACCTTCTTGCTGTAAGGCGACCGCCCAGTTGTGATTCAGTTTATTTAAGATACATTGTCTTTAAATGTAATGGTTCATTTGTTAAAGCAGTGCGTGTTCCTCTTTAAGTTCCCTTATGTGGCCTTTTTATTTCATATACTGCAATAAAATTGCCTAGACGTCAAAAAGTCTTGACAGCAAATGTTTATATGCTTCAACTAATACTTTTTTTTTTTTTTTTAATAATTGTATTTTATTGGATTTTTCAAGAACAACCACAAAGACACACATACATATATACACACATACACAAACACACACCACACTAGGCACTGTCTCGGACAAATCCCATACAATGACTCAATGAACAAATAACAATGACATCACAGTTTAGCAAGTGACAACAGAAAATAGAATAAAGAAGTAAAATTAAATAATTAAATATGTAAAATAAGTAAATTAAGTCTCTGAAGTATCGTCAGAGGTTGAGTGGCTGGTTTGCTCATCTAGATAGTTTAGAAATAAACCCCAAACACTAAAAAAATTTTCAATAGTATGAGTCCTCAAAAATCTCAGTCTTTCAATCTGTATTACCGAAGTCATATCTGCAATCCACATTTGAAATGTAGGAGGTGAAGATGACTTCCAATGTCGAAGCTAAAGCCTTTTATCCACAATCATACCTAAAGACAAAGACTGCTGGAGGCCATGTGGGAGATGAGAATTGTGTTGTGATTGTGAATATTCAAAAATAGCAAGTTCTGCATCAGGTGGTAAAGATTTGACATAAGCTTTAGAGTACCAATCGAATATGTTTGACCAGAATGTATATAACAAAGGGCAGAACCAGAAAGCATGGGAAGTTGTGTCTTCTGTCACTTTGCACCTGTCACATAATGGTGATATGGAGGGAAAAATCTTATGCAACTTTGCTTTAGTATAATGTAACCGATCAACTAATATTTTTAAGTTATGAAGTTTAACTTACTATTTTGAGTCAGTTTGATTGATGTGGGTTCAGATGACCAGAAAGGTTCATTTGATTCAACTCACAAATGTAAAACAGCATACTTTTTTTTAAAAGTTTGCATAGACTTATGTAAACTTGAAAGTTATATAGACTTTCATTCATATTTTTTATGCCTTTTTAAACGATTTAAATTCTACAAGAGCACAATCAACATTAAAACACTCTTCTGTTTTTTATTGTTTTTATTTTATTTACGGAGAGATTAATTTTAAATACAATTTAATTAATGAGTTTTTCCAGAAGAAAGTACTGACCTTTGTCAAATGCAAAACAGATAAAGGAAAAATTGCATTATGTGTACTCAATACAGTTGTTAAATCTATCAAAAACAATATTTTATATTCTTAACCATCTCATTGTAGGCTTTAAAGTGCAACATGAAGAAACTCATCTCTGTCATATTACTGGCGCTTCACATACAAAGAGGAGATTTTTCAGACAGTTCAGATTTTCATCTCATCGAAGCTCCAAAACCAGAAGTGTTTGAGTTTAACAACACAATCTACGCAACATGTGAAGTCTCTCCCATCCCAAATTTACCCGCCGGCCAGCCTGAGATCTTCGGCCAAGTCCTCTTCAGGCAGGTTTTCCCCAACGGGACTGCAGAAGTCAAAATAAACCTGCGTGGATTTCCTGAAACTGATAATCAAGTGCGTGCCATCCATATTCATCAATACGGAGACCTCAGTCAGGGCTGCGTCACCGCCGGGCCACATTATAACCCGCAGGACGTCCCGCATCCTAATCATCCCGGAGATATGGGCAACTTCATGCCAAAACAAGGACTTATCCGGCGGTTTCTGAAGCTCCCAGAGGTCAAGCTGTTTGGAGGTCAGTCCGTGCTGGGGCGTGCGGTGGTGGTGCATGAGAAGGAGGACGATCTGGGAATGGGAGCAGATGAGGAGAGTAAACGCAGTGGGAATGCCGGGAGGAGAATCGCTGGATGTGTTATTGGCATCACCAAGCCTCATCTGTGGCAGAAAACTGAACACGTGGAGGAGGAAGAGAGTAAGAGATGAGCGTCGAGGTGGATTGTGGATTATCATGTTTAGATTTAGTTTTGAAAGAAGATGATCACTCTTTAAAGGGGACCTATTATGCAAAAATCACTTTTATAAGGGGTTTAAACACACTAGTGTGTGAATATAACCACCTTCTAATAGTTAACATTGATTGAGACTATGTTTTGTAATCACACTTGATGTAAACAGTCTGCAGAAACACTTTGATTGACATTCTCCGTTTGTACGTGTCATCAGAGGGGGAATGCTCCGCCCACAGGTGACCATCCCTCATTAACATAGGACTTTAGTCTTGCTTGTGAATCTGCCACTATGCTGACAGTCACACAGGAATTTGTAGCTCCGCCCTCATAAAAAAAAACACAATCTCATTTGCATTTAAAGCGACAGTCACCAAAACAGCACAATTAGGAACAAAGCCTACAAAAAAACCCTCATAACAATTTGCACAAATATCAAGTCAATTTTAATTGATATATAACCCAACAACCCTAAACTAATTAAGCAAAGTTAATTGAATATCTTTAATTTTGAGTCTATATTTATTCAAATCGATCAAGTAATGTCAAGTTCTTGTTTAAGCAGAAGGAGCATTGCTTTTATTAATTTAGATAAATCTTATTAGTTGCAAATTAGTACATGTGGAGTAACTTATTTAAATTAAGATGCACATTTTCACCAGACATGTTCTTTCGCTTTATTTTAAGCAATTTACTACAAACCTGCTTACTAATCTCAGAGCTAGTGTTAGCAGTTATGGCTCTCTGAGTGAAGTGTCAAACATTAATGCTGATGATAAAAATGCCAAGACCCAAAGCATGAGTGCTACTCTTCTGCAAGGTGGTTATCTCAAAACTAAGGTGCCTTGTGGATTATCATGTTTAGATTTAGTATTGAAAGAGGATGATCACTCTTTAAAGGGGAGCTATTTTGGAAAAATCACTTTTATAAGGGGTTTAAACCAAGTTGTGTGGCAGCAGTCTGTGAATAAAACCAGCTTCTAATGGTTAACATTGATTAATTCTGTTTGTTATAATCACACTTGATGAAAACAGTCTGCAGAAACACTTTGATTGACATTCTCTCTTTGTATGTGTCATCAGAAGGGGAAAGCACCGCCCACTAGTGACCATCTCTCCCTCATTAGCATAGAAAGTTAAGCCCCTTTCATGCACTGATACCGATAGATATCCGGAAAATTACCAGAATGACTTTACAGAAACACATCCATTTCATAAAACCGGTTACAGACTTTCAACGTTCCTCAAAACATCTTTTGTACAACAGTAGAAAGAAACTCAGGAACCACTTATTTAAGCAGAGTAAATAGAGTGTCAATTTTTATTTTGAGCTGCATTGTGGTTTCAGGATCCCGAAACATTGACTTTAAATCATGTCAGAACATTCTTCAAAACATCTTCTTTTGTTTAACAGAAGAAAGAAATTCAGGAACCACTTTAGGGAGAGTAAATAGTGTGTAAATTTTAATTTTTGGCTGCACTGTCCCTTTAAGAATATATCAGTTTCAGGATCCTAAAACAATGACTTCAATTCATTTCAAAGTGTCAGAACATTCTTCAAAACATCTTCTTTTATGTTCAACAGAAAAATAAGACACTAAAACCAAGTAATAATACAGAGAGTAAATAGTGTGTAAATTTTAATTTTTGTCTGCACTGTCCCTTTAAGAATTGATCAGTTTCAGGAACCCAAAACAATGAGTTCAGTTCATTGCAAAGTGTCAGAACATTCTTTAAAACATCTTTTGTGTTCAACAGTATAAAGAAACCCAGGAACCTCTTTAGGGAGAGTAACTTTTATTTTTGGCTGAACTGTCCCTTTAAGAATACATTAATATGATTCTGGATCAGAAACAATGACTTCAGTTCATTTCAAAGTGTCAGAACATTCTTCAAAACATCTTCTATTGTGTTCAACAGAAAAATAAGACACTAGAACCACTATAGGGAGAGTAAATAGTGTGTAAATTTTCATTTTTGGCTGCATTGAAGTTTCAGGATCCCGAAACAATGACTTTAATTCATGTCAAAACATTCTTCAAAACATCTTATTTTGTTATACAGAAGAAAGAAACATGGGAACCACTTTATGGAGAGTAAATAGTGTGTAAATTTTAATTTTTGGCTGAACTGTCCCTTTAAGAATGCATTAATAGGATTCTGGATCAGAAAACAATAACTTCAGTTTATTTCAAAGTGTCAGAACCTTCTTCAAAACATCTTCTTTTGTGTTCAACAGAAAAATAAGACACTAGAACCACTTTAGGGAGAGTAAATATTGTGTAAATTTTCATTTTTGGCTGCAATGTCCCTTTAAGAATTAATCAGTTTCAGGATCCTAAAACAATGACTTTAATTCATTTCAAAGTGTCAGAACATTCTTCAAAACATCTTCTTTTGTGTTCAACAGTACAAAAGAAACTCGTGAACCACTTTAGGGAGAGTAAACAGTGAGTAAACTTTCAGTTTTGGCTGAACTGTCCCTTTAAGAATACATTAATAGGATTCTGGATCACAAAACAATGACTTTAATTCATTTCAAATTGTCAGAACATTCTTCAAAACATCTTCTTTTGTGTTCAACAGAAGAAAGAAATTCAAGAACCACTTTATGGAGAGTAAATAGCGAGGGAACTTTGGCTGCACTGTCCCTTTAAGAATATATTAATCAGACAAAAACAATGACTTGAGTTCTTTTCAAAGTGTCAGACAGCAGCCAAAACAAGAGACACGTCTTCCACTCACCAGTAAATATCGTGAAATACGTCAAGAAGTTTTCCCGGCCACTGAGAGAGACTGGGATTTATGTGCTCAACAAGCACCGACAGACAATTCCCAAGGCGTAAACAAATCAAACGGAATATAAATAAGGGCATAAAAGGCAATGTGCCGCACTCTTAAGGTCTATTTGGGACACTGCTCTTGAAGGAGAAGCGCTGAAATAATTGGATGCAATGAATTACTTTGCAGGAGGGAGATCACGCCGTGAGCCAAGTCAACAGATTCACATTTAGGATTAGTGCTATGCTCCGGCTAATAATGTTTATGCATAAACTGAGAATCGGGATTGCTCCTGATATCAGCCACTGAAAGGAATTATAATATTTTACTGCGCCGTTGATGTATTCAAAGCTGCGAGCTGCACTTCATCGATATACTCTTGATGACAAATCCACTGGTTGCTTGCTGAGAATGTTTAAACTGTTTTAAGAGGTAACTTTCACATACTGTACAGTACATCTATTTCCATTCATTCATTCATTCATTTTGGCTTAGTCCCTTTATTAAACAGGGGTCGCCACAGCGGAATGAACCGCAAACTTATCCGGCAAAGGTTTTACACAGCGAATGCTCTTCCAGCTGCAACCCATCACTGGGAAACACCCATAGACTCACATTCACATATATATATATATATATATATATATATATATATATATATATATATATATACACACTACGGACAATTTTAGCTTACCCATTTCACCTATATGTGGTTGGACTGTGGGGGAAACCGGAGCCCACGGAGAAAACCCACACTAACATGGGGAGAACATGCAAACTCCACACAGAAATGCCAACTGGCCCAGCCGAGGCTTGAACCAGCGACCTCCTTGCTGTGCGGTGATCGTGCTGCCTATTGCACCACCGTGACACTCTTCACAATACTCTTCCCCGTTAATTATGCATAAATATACGCAACTAAACCGAACCCAGAATCTTACCATAGAGTAAGTACACTAATTAATATTACTCACTCGTTAAATGATAATAACAAGGACACGTTCAAATAGTGTAAGCTAATATTTGTTTTATTTATTAATTCTTTAATTAAGAAAGTGTGAATAAAAACATATTATTCATATGTTAAAAATTATTATATATTATTTTATATTAAAAATTATTCATAACTTGCTTCATAATCCTATTAATTATTGCAATTAATTACAATTACTTATGCATAATTACATGAAACTAAACCAAACCCACAATATAATCATAAATACATTAATATAGTAATTAATATTATTTAGCGCATTAAAAATAATGATAAAATATCAAAATAAGTATTGAACACTTGACCATTTTTCTCAGAAAACACATTTCTAAAGGTGCTGTTGACTTTTTTCTCCCGGATGTTCCCGGATAACAACCAAACAAATACATATATGCAAAGAAAACAATATTAATTAGTTTACAAATGAAGTCATGCACAATAAAATGAAATGATGCAGAGAAAAAATGCAGAACACATGAAGAAAGGGAGATGTAGTTCAGCAGTGAACGCCCAGACAGCAGCTGAAATCTCTCAGTAGTTCTTCTGCCCTTCCTCAGTGTAAATCAGGGGTCACCAACCTTTTGGAAACTGAGAGCTACTTCTTGGGTATCGTTGAATGTGAAGGGTTACCAGTTCACTTCCTAATAACAAATTTGCTCAATTTACTTTAAATTATATGTTATTAATAATTAATGATATTCATCTCTGTGAAGACGCTGATCATGTTAATGATTTCTCACAATAGTTGTCAACAATGATTGGAAACAGATAAATATTAACCAATGCAAGTGTGATTTAAAAAGAATAGCTACAAAAAATATTAGATGCAGCTTACTGGTATGTGGTGCTATAAGCTAATTTAACAACAGGTCCACGGGCAACTCATGTGATCCTCGCGGGCTACCTGGTGCCTGCGGGCACCATGTTGGTGAACCCTGGTGTAAATGAAGATCAGCTGCTCCAGTCCAGCATCTACATTAGCAGGAGGATGCAGATGAAAGCAGGGTGGACATTTCAGCAAGACAATGATCCAAAACACAGTCGAGGAGACTCTCAGATGCTTTCAGAGAAAGAATATCAAGCTGTGGAATGGCCTAGCCAATCACCTGAGCCGAATCCAATTGAGAATACAAAATAAAGATTAGATTTGACACTCTGACATGCTGTTAGATAGAACTATTTCATCATATAGAGCTATTCTTCTTGTGAAACTGTATTTATTTCGCATATATATCACGTAAAAATAAAATATGGCAATAACAGATTTTTATAATATCGTGCAGGCCAAGTTGTAAGGTTTTTTCAGTAAATGTGCGAGCCGATATCACTCTTAACTCTTCAGTGTTGAAGGTTTTGACACTTTGAGCAATGCATGAGGCTTCATTCTCCATATGAGAGGTGTCTTTATGCTGCCATCCCACTGTAGCTTTCTCTACTGTACATGTTTTCCACAAGCGTCCTTTAACTTGCTTCACAATGTTTCTCCATGAATAATTCAACAGTGTACGAGCTGTCTCTTGTCTAATAGGAGCAAAGAGCAGCAGAAAGAGAACATGAAGACAG